CTCTTCTTTAGATGTTAAAAAATGAAAGTATATTCCCAAACATCCTTTTATTCCCCCCAGTCATTCAGCTTGAAAAATCATATGTTGTCTCACAACACTATCAGCTCTTTCCACTGGCTGCAGCATGGTTTGTTCTGTGCCGCCCAAACTGGTGGATTTTAACCCACACTGGTTGTCTGCTTATCCCTGCCACACCAGGCTGTGCTCTGCCGAGCTGGAAGGGCAGCAGGTGAGGTGCTGAGGCATGCCTGGGAAATTCTGCTCCCCAAACCACAGGAACTGTTGTGTGGCTCAAAAATAAGGTCCAATTATCCAGGCAGTTCCTGCCTGCTGCTTCTTCCTGCTCAGATGTAAGCAGTGCCATAGGCATTTCCCTCTGCCTGGCACAGAATTCCACACTGCTCCACTGGCAGGGGGTGAGGAAAGAGTTAAGCTGAGAGAAAGCCCCAGGTACTAAAATTAACTCCCATTCCCCCCCCTCCGCCCACAGCTTTGAAATTCGAATCACAACTCGCTGTCAGAGCTTTGGATCCTTTGAAATCACAGATGGCTGGGCTGGAGCTCCCAGGAATTCAGTCTCCTCCTCTCTTCCTTCTGCTTCTCCTTCCCCCACCGCCCAGAAAAATCTGTTTTCAGGTCATCTGTAAGATTTTAGTGTCGCTTCCTGAAGCTAAAGCAGATTTGGCTGCTGGGCCCTGAGAATACTTCCAGGGGCTGCAGGAATCCCTGCGGTGGTTGAGTTCTGTTGGAATTGCCCATCTGGTTCCCCATAGCCACCTGGGTGGATGTGCAGGACAAAGACAGTGAAGCTTGGGCTCTCTGGTCCTAGAAATCATGTTATTTGTTTACAAAATCAGCTATATTAAAGCAAGCAAACAAACCAACCCACAGCCAAAGCCAAGGAGGTTTTGATTGCTGCCCTGGATGATTCCACTGATCCTGTTCACAGTGCAGTATTGCAACCAGAGGCAGGAAAATCAGGAACTGTGTTAGGAGTTGTTCTGCAGTGTCTAACACACTGCTGTAACGGCACCTTTTGTCTGCAGGAGGAACTTTTGTTGTCACAGTTATAAAACCAGGACTGTTATGCATCCTACACAAATGCAACCCCTAAACCCCTAAACAAGTGTCTCTGGCCAGGGAGCTGTCTGTCCCAGTTCCTGCAGAAACCATAGCCTGCAGTGCTTCACAGCCTCAGATTTCCTCAGGGAAACTGAAAAGCAGCTCTTGAAGTTAGCTGTAGTCCCTGGGCCAAAGAGATCTCTGTGAGATGGGTTACATTCCGTGGACCCAGTCAGGGTGTTTAGAATGGATCAGCAGGTGGTTTTTAATGCCTCTCACAGGTAAAAACCTCCCACCAAAGGTTTGACTCTCATTTCAGAGCAAGATCCAACCTGCAGCTTGTGCCCTCACCAGAGACGTCAGAGCCAGTGCATGGGCTTGACTCACTTCCCCTTTAGTAACTGCCCAACTGTTCTCTGAGAGGTTTCAGCATAGCCAGCTGACCTTCCAGTGAGGATGAAGAAACTTTAGGAGCTGTTTGAACAGTGGTTTGAAAACTCCCCAAGTGACCACAGGGGACAAACCAAACCAAACAAGAAGCCACCACCCTGGAGCTTGAGTTTAAGTGAGGAAAACAAGAATAGTTCCTGGTGCCTGTGCAGGCTTGGGCAGCTCCTCCAGCCCTGGGTCTCTGGGGATCCGTTGTGGAAAATCACAGGAAGTTTTTGGCTGGAGCAAATGTTTGCTGTCAGGGCAGACTCGGCCCTCCTGTTGGCCCGAGGTGCTGCCACACTCACAGGGGTCTGTCTGCTGGTGTGGCTTTTCTGCACTGCTCAAGGGTTGCCCTCCTGGCCTGAGCAGAGAGAGGAGAGTCTGGTCCCTTCCCTTGCCTTCCCTGCGCTGGATTTTGGGAAGCTGTGCACGCCCTCCTGTTCCTCATGCTCCCTGAGCTAGCTGTGCCGTGGCTCCCCTGTGTTTTGGGAACACACACTATGGCACTTGTCTCCTGTCACATGCATTTATCTGATGGAGAGCTGTGTACATGTAGTTGCAAACTGGATTCAGCCCCGGGGTGCTTGGCCAGTTGCCTGCTGCTCTCTGTGCTGGAAAAGTCTGTGCACCATTCTTGCTCCAAGGGAAACTTTCAAGCACGTCATTCCTCTTTTTTTTCCCCTTATAAAGGTTATTGTGCCTCAGCCCTCAATTGAATTACGTCCCTAGTTAAGAAAGGGAAGGTAATTTTCCCTTCTCTTTGCCCCTTGGCAACTCAGGAGGTTTCCAGCACTGCTCACGAAAAACATCCCTTGCAGGGTGGTTGGTGTGTCAGGGTGCTGCAGGGACAGCTCTGCGGGGGCCACTGACCAGCCCAGGAACAGCCTCCAAAGGGATGAGGGTAAGGAAAAGTTCTTTCCTGTGCCCAGAGGCCTGTGAAACCCATTTGTGTTGTAAATACAGTGGGGATGTTTGTCACTCAGGACAGAAACAAAAGTGTCTGAGGATTGCTCACTTCAGCCTGAAATTTTTCCTGTGTTCTCCAGTGATTTAGGGGGTGGCTAATTACTCTCTCTTTCCTGCAAAACCAAGGAAGGACCATCAATATTTCATATTAGGAGACGTGGTCAGGCTAAATACAGCTACTGCTTTCTTCCTGATGAGTGTGGAGTGAGGAGCTCCTGGTCTTCCAGCTTGGCTGAGCTGTGAGTCTGGTCCTAAGCTCACTGCATTCCTCCAGGCACATGTTCCACCTGGTGCACACTGACTGTCTGCTCCAGGTGTGAGCTGAGAGGCTGTAGCTGATACCCTGGTGGATGTTACCCAGGCAGCATTACCTGGGCTGTAGCAGCTGACAACCTGCAGGCTCAGTCAGGAAGTAAATCTCGGGGCTTGGAGAAACCCCTTTTTGAGGCTGTCAGCTTGCCAGGCAGGAGGGAGTCCCCCAGCTCAACCCCTCTCTTCTGGGTGCTCCCAGAACAAAATACTTCACCTGTGCCTGCAATTTAAACAGCTTTTCTCCATCAGTGTGAGGGTGCACTGCCATCCTCACTTCCCAGGGCTTTACACCTCCTCTGGAAGCACTGGTGGCTCTGGAGCTGGTGAGGGATCCTGCCCAGCCCACAGGGAGACCTGTGGTGTGTGCTGGGAGGACAAGGAGAGGCTGATGGAGGAGTTGGGGAGCGAGGTGTGTGTACAGCCTTGTTCCCCCTTCAGCCCCACTTGCAGGGAGTGTCAGCAGGTCAGCCACAGGTTTAACAAATAAATGCAAAAGTGGCTAAATACACACAAACAAGCTGCAGTTGGAGGTTCTGGAGTTTCCCTCTCCCCAGGCAGAGTCTCCCTGTGGGCAAGTGAGGAAGTTCTAATGGGGATCTTCCAGCCCACAGTGGCTGGTGGGAAGAGACACACTGCAAGGCTTTTGGAGCTGTGTTCAGCACTCCTGGATCCAAGGTGTTCCCTCCAGCTGGAAAACCTTAGGCCATCCCAGTGATGGCTGGAAACCTCCTGCAGGGTTATGCCAACCCTGTACAGCCTCTCCCTTGTCCATGGAGGAGCATTTGCTTAATAAAAATCTCATATAAAAGGGATTTCTGTCCAGGACTGAGGGCCTTGATGTTTATTTGCCACTTAAAACCTGCTGTGCTCTGTGGGATTAGAGTGAATTTTGTACCAGGTGCAGCCTGTGTGAATCGGGAACAACATTTGCTCTTTATTTATCTTTAGTTCTCCCTTAGCTCTGGGAAAGCACCTTGAATCCTCACTTGTTCAGAGCTGCTGTTGTCATTATTTATAACAAAAGGATCGTTGTCACTGTGCATTCTCTCTGACTTGGTACCTTCTTGCCTGTAAATACAGCCTATTGTCACTGTGCATTTTCTCTTGACTAGGTACCTTCTTGCCTGTAAATACAGCCTGAGCTGCTGCAGCCACAGAGGAGCCTTGGTGAAAGCTCCTGGTGAGCCTTTGGCCAATATCCACCTGTTGGGGGTTGCACAAGAGCTCACAGAAGGAATGGAAAGGTTCAATAACTTTCCCATGGATTTACCCTTCAGGGCTGAATTGTTTTGCTGAAAGGACTTAATACTGTCCAGAAATTGGCAGCCAGAGTCATGGCAGGCAGTCTTGGAGCCCTCTGAATAACCTTCTCCATCAGATCACCTTCTCCATCTGGGAGCAGGGGGTGGAATCTGCTGTCTTTAAAGCAAAGATGTAAAAGCCTTGTCTCTGTTTTGTTTTCCATTTCAGGTTCACACGTTTCTTGACACCCTGTTACTGCTGAGTGAGGCTGTAGGGAGGAAATGGGCCAGGGAACCCCTTTTTTTCTGTTCCCTATATAGCAAAGTATTGTGCTTTAGTCACATCCTTTTGTCATCACTTCTGTTCCTGAGTCCTGTAGGCCTTGCAGAAATGACCTCCATCACTCCCTGGCTTGTAGTCAGTTTGTGCTTTGTAAACACCCTCACTGGGTTTGCCATTTTTCCTCCTCTAAAAGCCATTTCCCATCTAAACTCAAGAGCTGGGCCCTGAAGTTCTGTGGCTTTTAACATCTTTTCAGAGTGGTTAGACCCGAGAGGAACCTTCCAGAACTCCCTGGTACTTCTGTGTTCCACATCAAACAGGTCCTGCAGAAATCCCCTTTTTATTTACCAGGCAGCTCCTCCCTATCTCCAGCATTTTCCATCAGTTCTCTCCAGCTCTCAGTGCTGAGGTGGGAGAGCTCTCACCCCATTCCCTATGGAACAGAGGAGCAGAAAAACCCAGTGTGGCAGAAATCTCCACTTACGCAGGTGTTGGAGACCTGTGGGTGATTCTGGCCCAGCTTCATCCCAATCTGAGCCACCTGGGTTGGGTTTCCATGGGCAGGTTTGCCAATCCCTGTGTGTCCCAGATGATCCTGTTCTGTTTTCCTGCAGCTTTAATCCCCTTTTCCTGCCTTTTGCTCCATGTCCCGGCCAGGCACAGCTCAGTGTCTCACCAGGCTCTCTTTGGTTTTGCAGGTAGCTGTATCCAGCTGGGTGGCAGGTGGATCCAAGGGTTACCATGAAGTTTTCAGGACCCCTGGAGAGCCAGAGGTTGTCTCTCCTCCTGGAGACGGCAATCTCTAGGGAAGCTCAAATGTGGAAAGCACATGTGCCGAAAATTCAGCCCAGTCAGGTAATGTCTCTTCTTCTTCACATCACTGACCTTAGCTGTCCTTGGTGTGCTGTGGGAACAACTGGAGCTGTTCCCTGCCTGGGGAATTGGCCTCTGCAGGGAGGGATTCCTGTGTTTATTGGCGGGACACGCCTGCCCTCAGGGGTGCAGAACACCCTGCCCAGCACACAGTGTGAGGCCTCTGCTGTTCCTCGTGAAAGCACAGACACACACTGGCTTAATTAAATTAATTGTACAAATTGTGTGGGTGATTAACATCCATTTCTGCTGGGCACCAACTCTGCAACAGGCCCTAAAAGCAGCTTCATTTTCCTGGAGTAATTCCCTAATGAGAGTGTTGATCTGAGCTGGTCAGGCACTGCCTGCTCCAGGAGGAACCCCCTGACTCCAGCAGGACTATTTATGGAGCAGGCTGCAAGCTGGTCTCAAGGGAAGCAGAGCCAGGCAGTGGCCTCTTCCAGGGAGGAATGTTCTCATAGGACTGGAGGAAAACTCGGGGTGGAAGGGACTGCAGGGGGACTGTAGTCCAACCTCCTGCTGGATTTCTGCCTCACCCAGCCTGAGCCAGGTTTGTGCTGTTTTGGGAGGAGACATCTGTCTCATGTGTGCACTCAGAAACAGCTGTGCCCTCCACAAAGTTGTGTTTGGAACACAGTGTGACACACAGGGATGGTTGTCACAGAGTTTCTGGTCCTGTGCCGCTGGGTTGGGCTGCAGTAACTAGGCTGAGGGCTCAGATCAGTCCTGCTCTTGTTGCACCACACACAGGATTGACACAGGTAGGTCAGCTGTTGTCACAGCTAATCCCTGGCCTGTGTGTTTTTTCTGCCTAGCAAACAAGAAACTGCTGCTGTTGGGTAGGAGCAAATCCATTTTTCAGGGCCCTGGTATTAGTCCTGTTAATCCAGGTTTCAGTTTCTAAATGAGTGACCTGTCGGAGGTGTGGAGAGTGTTGCAGCTGTGGCTGTCCTGGAGCACGTACAGCTCAGACTGGCTTGGCTTGTGGCAGCCTGTCATTCCCTGCTGGCAGTATTCCTGGGGTGATTATACTGCAGGGAGATAAGATTACAGGATAACAAGATAGGTTAGGGACTCTGCCAGTGTAACCAAACCAGATTCATGGGTGAGGATTTCACAGGGACAAGGCACTTACGTTTCTGCCTTGGTGATGTTGATTCTGGTGGGTCAGAAACCACCACCTGCCTTGGGCAGACTCCACAGCAATCCCTCCTCTGTGCTCGTGTCTGCTCCTGGAATTTCCACCCTGAAACTCTTGCCTTGGTGTGACCTTTCCTTTGTTTTCCTCCACGTGGGTTCAGACATTGACATTCTCAGTGCTGTGCATGTTTTCTAGCAATCACTACATGGGAGCAAAAGCTCTGTGTGCGCAAGATGCAGCAGCCTAAAGCCTCACTTGCATGGCACTTGTTTATTTCCCATGGGATCTGCATCCTCCTGTGGATCAGATCTGGCACCCCGAGGCGTGTGGAACTTTCCATTCCCTGCCACAAAGGTGCACTGACTGCACAAAGGCTTAGTGAGCTCACCTGCTTTGCCACTGACAGACTGAGTGCGTCAACACAGCTCTGACAGCCTGATTGGAGACACACTTGTAGCTAGGGCTCAGCAGGAAAAAAAAAGTTTTGGTTGTAATGGTTTACAACCGGAACAAACTCAGTTTCTAAGTACGTGTCAGCTGAGATCTTTGAGAGGAAGAAAGAAACCCAGACAGACCCAGTTACAGACACAGGAAGACTATTTGTAGCACAGGGTGCAGAATCTGTTGGGGACTTTGTTCCTGGAAATTTAAGTGGTTTTCTTCTGTTTCCTTTCTGTCTGAAAGCTCCCATTCCCTCCTTTCAGTGCAGGCCAGTGCCCTGGGTATGTGCAAATGGGGAAAGAGCAAAACACCTGACTGGGACAGGGTTATCAGGTGAGGTGTTTTCCCTAGATTAGGCAGCAATAAAACTGAGTTGTGTTTGAGTTCACAGATAGTATTTATTTTAGCCTGCACACTCCAGAAGTCTCGAGGTGTTCGGAGCTGATGTGCTCTGTGCTCACACACCACAGCCCTGGTCACAGTGTCTCACCTCCTGAGCCCTGGGACAAGCTGGGGATGGCCACAAGGCCACTTGGCTCAGTGCACGGGGGGGAGAACAGCCCTGTGAGCCTCTCACCGTGGCCAGGCCTCGCCAGCAGCTCTGGCAGCACCCAAGCAGTAGGGTTTGGGGCTGGCTGGAGGAGCTGTCCTTCTGTCCTGAGGGGCTTGTCTTGGAGCCACACACTGCTGCCTGGGAGAGCCAAGGCTGCCCTGGCTGGGCTTAGAGTAATTCTCCCTAATTGACACTGTCACTCCAGGCCAGCAGATTGCACCCCGGGGATCTGTTCTGCAGGAGTGGCTCTGTGGCACCCAAACAAAGGGCAGCACACACAGCCCTGAGGGGCAGGTGACACACAGGAAAGTCCCTCTGCACCGAGGAGGAACCTTCGCTTTCCAGCCCACAGGGACTTTCTCACTTACAGCCATTGCAGTGTCTCCTTTTTGCTTTGAATTTCAGTTGACTAAGGAGCAGTGACCTGGCTGCTTAATTGATCTTACTGTGCTGCTGTGTCTGTTCTGTTGTGTTCTGAGGGTGACACAGGGACGGCTCCGAGGAGAGGGACGAAGCCTGATGCTTCGTGTGGGAAGCTCCTTACCCGGTGTGGAAACAGCAGCAGCAGGAGGGTTCGTGGTGGGGGACACCAGTTCTCCTTCCTCCTGCCTGTGTCTGTGCCAGCCTCGCCTGGTGCTGATGGGAGGAGGTTTAAACTCAAGTGGTGTGTCTGTGTCAGGGAGTTCCACCACCACCTCCTGCTGCAAAGCACATTACTGTCCACAGAAGGCACATGGGAGGAGTTTTGCTGGGAGACACAGCCTGAAGTGTTTATTCTACATCACTGTGGGGTGTTTGTAGTCTCAATTTCAGCTGCTTCACCCTCATGTTCCTGCTGGGAGGAGAGTTCAGCCCAGCCCAGCAGAGCTGATTGGTTGTGGCTCTGGACTCATCTGTGCTGGTCATCCCCAATAATCCCCATTGGAATGAGACCAGACAGTTACTTAGGGGATGTGAAAGGCTCTAGAAAAGCTGCAGATAGTTCTGAACTAGGTCACAGAGAAAGATTTTATGTCAATGGCTGAACTGCACACATGGTTGAAGTTTAGCTGTTGTCCAAACAGATCGATGGGGACCAAGAGCTTAAACCAAACAAACCCAAACTGCAGGTGGAGTTGTGCCTGCTGCACCCCAGTTCTCAATTAACTGAGCCACTAAAGCCCTTTTGTAAGCTGATTGGAATGTTCTTCAACAGATACTGACCTAAAAAATCCCCATAATGTGCAGAAAAAAACAAACCTTTCCTCTCAAAACCCCAAGTGGGT